TGTCCTCCACGTTCTTTCCTTTTAGTCACCACTTAGACTAAGGGTCAGATTAGGTAGGTAATACAATCCCACTCAGCCACCTCCATTAAACCAGAAAATGGAGAGGAGATTAATCAAAATAGGATAACCAATTAGCCATGAGTGCTCTCCCAACTATCCAGCAGGTAGTCAACCCTCTTTTACCTCAGAAGTGATCCATTAAGCACCTGCAAACTTGTGGAAAGCGATAGCCATTGAAAAGACAGTTGAAAATACGTAAGCAAAGCATCACAGCACGACTGGAGCGACCGGTCGTCAGGAATGGGCGACCGGTCGCCAGAAGTTTTCCCTCCAGACTTTGAATCTGCTTCTAAGCGACCGGTCGCTCGTGTGCCTGCGACCGGTCGCAAAGAACTAGCGACCGGTCGCTCTTCAGTTTAGCTTCCAGACTTCGAATCTGCTTCAAAACGACCGGTCGCAAATGTCCAGCGACCGGTCGCTTTTAGGCAGATTCAAAATCATCCTTTGAGCGCCAAAAAACTTTGTATCCTTTTAGGTGAGCCATTTTTCCAACATAAGCTTGATGGGATTTCGCCTGTGATGGCATTACTGGACAAGTTGAGGATATACAGTGATTTCAATACTCCCATTTCCTCAGGTATTGATCCGTTGAATTTGTTGTATGAGAAGTCAATCAAGGTGAAGATAGTTAGAATCTTTACAAGATCCATCTCTGAACCTTTACTAGTAACTGTTATAGCATCCTTAAAAGAATAAACAGCTCCAGTATACTGTCCCCCTTCAGATGAAAGGACATTGCTCTTTGCAATTGGTCGGGAACCATCTTCGTCAGCCATCATTGCCCGCCATGTTGTCAAGGATCTTTCTGGTATTTCACCATTGAAGTTGTTGTTGTTAGCGAGTAGAGCATATCCTATTCTATTTGGGTTTTATTTATTTTTCCTTTTGTGTAGATATTATGTAATTAGGATTCCACTTATTTCCTAATTAAACCCTACTAGGGTTTGTAACCTGTATTATAAATACCTCCTTTCGGAGAATGAAATATATCTGAAAATATTCTACCCATATTATTTGACTTGGTATCAGAGCCGACTTTCTGGTGACCTGTGTGTGTTGTGCCCACCCGTGTTCTACTGTGTGCCCTAATTTCTTTAGGGTTCTTG